TAAACAATTTAGTAAGGAAGTGCTACTTGTTTTTGTTTCTCTAATTCTTCTTGTTGATTCCTTACTAGCGTCTCATATTTAGTAACCATATCATCTCTGTTTTTCATAAACGCTTCCATCTCCCGTTCCTTCTCAATCAAACTGTTCTTTAGTTCTTGATTCATATTCCGTAACCTGTCATTTTCTGTTTGCCTCTCTTGAGCACTTTGTTGAAGAAGTTCCAGAATCTTAGCATTCTGTTCGTTTGCTTTAGCGCATGACTCTAAGTTTTCAATATGTTTTTCATTTTGAGAAAGTTTATCCTTTGTTTCTGTCAATTCCTTTATTGTATTCTTTATCTCTGCTTCCATGAGCTTGCCCTCTCTATCAGCAATATCCGTTTTTTGAAGTAGAGATTTCACTTCTGGAATCATGATCAATTTTACTTTTCTTCACTAGAGACATAACACTTATAATGATTATTCAATAACAAATATATATATCTGACCTTGTTGAAGCGATAGTATTTCAGCATCTTTCTCCTGTTCTATATCCTTTGCACTTTCCAAACGAACCTCAAATTCTAAGAGTTTATCATTATTTTCATCTAACAACTTTTGCAGATGTTCTTTCTCATCTTGACATATTTCTAACTTCTTATTCAATTCTTCGATTTGTTGCTGAAGTTCCGTTACGATATCAAGTTTGTGCTCCAGTTCTGTGATTTTCGCAGCATGTACGTCCAAGCACTGGAAAGAAGAATATAGTCTGACAGAATAAATGACCACGTTTTAAGAAATTTATACTAAGTTAACGCGACAAAAAGTTTTAATGAATTACAAATTCTTAGATGAAGAAAACTATCTCTTCCTAATTTCATACAACGAAAGTTTCTTTAAATCAAATGCTATTTCAGAATATAAAATATACTTCATAATAAAATCAACACAACTTTAGACTTTCGTTTGGCTCATAAAAGCCTGAATAAATAAATTGTAATCCAGAAATATTGATACTTTTTCACGAGGTTATAACATTCATCGACAATCTTTTATCTAAGATTCAGGGATCCATTAATTTTTATCGTTTTTATTGTCATACTACATCCAAATACCTTTGTCTTAATATCACTTCCTTCTATTCCCATATGCAGATCCATCTTCAATTGATTTATACTTTCTATATGTTCATCCTTGCACTGAAAGCGTAATCACTAAATATGCATGTGTGCATAAACGATTTTATGTTTAATCCTTGACTTACCTTTGAAATGAGATTATCGAAATCACCTTGTAAAGTATTTAATTTCTGCAATTATAGAATAAATGTTAAATACATCGAATGTTGATACAGTTAAAATTTATGATACCAATTGTAAAACTATGGAACACTACGTACTTCCATACACTGATTGTAACCATCCTTAGTATGTAAAAGTTCTTTTTCAACTTCATTAATAAGTCGCTCATAATACCCAATCTTTATATTTAGTGTAACCTTAGACTGATCGATATCTTCTAATAATTTTTGAAGATGCATTTCATCCACACCTTGAGAAAGCTGCTTTTTCAACACTTCAATCGAGTTTTTATATTCTTCTAAAACAAGCTTATTTGCTACATTTTCTTCTGACAAACTTTCTAGTTTTTGCGTCAAAGATGATACTTCTTGCTTAGACTCAA